ATGTTTCACAATTGGCCAATAATAACGTGTTATTCAATTTCATGTGACGACCAATCACGAGAAAGTTATCCTATATAGTCGCCTGTTAGTGTATCTGATCAACCAATCACAAGAAACTTCGTCATTCAGAAACTTTAAAAAATCACATATATATACCTAAACCTCTTTTTAAAACAACCAAATTTTAATATAATGCATCAAGAGGTGTCGTCACAGATTGATTTCTTTTCGGGCTTCAATCTTCCCAATGAAGCACCTGAAGAGTGTGATATGAAGCAGCAATCTGTAATCGTAAACCTTTTCAGTGGCAGGAAGCCAGTATGCCTACATTTTCCAACCGCTGCTTGCACTAAAATCTTCGATTTGAAGCAAATAATCTTTAATCGCATGTTGATTGATCCTGAAGAACAACAATATTACACATTGGCTGGAAAATGGTTAAGTGATTCTGTTCAAGTTTTTGAATCTGACGATGTCGAGTTCGTGACTTTAAATCTTAAACTTCGATTGTCCGGTGGCAAAGGTGGGTTTGGGTCGATGCTTAGGGCACAAGGTGGTAAAATGGCCAGCCAAAAGACGACTAATTTTGAGGCATGTCGTGACTTGAACGGTAGAAGACTGAGAACTGTCAATGAAGCAAAGAGGTATACATTCATTTAGATTATCTTCGCTAAAAGAAACAAAAAAATTGAATAATTAAATATTAACTATAGTTAACAACAATTATAGATTGGCCGACCATCTTGAACAAGAACCAGAGAGACAACGCGCTCGTAAGGAAAGAGTACTAAAAAAAATCGAAGAAGGAATGGCTGAACATCCAACAAAAAAAATACGTTTTGATGATACTGAATATCTTAAAGCTAGCGAAGAAATGAAAGAGAAAATACATGTTGCAGTATTTGAAGGTAAATTTTGATTTTAGTTAAAATTATAAACCATTGAACCTCTTTGGTCTATGCTAATTCCTTTTTTATCCAGCTATGTCGAAAAAGTCTAATTCTGCTGCTAGCAGTAGTTCTACTGCTAATAATTCAAAAGCACTCTCATTATGGTAAATGTTTTGAATATTTGTCATTTTTCATTATTCGTGAAATCTAAAGTTGACACAAATCTTCGTTACTTTAGGGATGTTGTTGAAAGTGGTTCTGATAGTAGCGATGATGATGTATCCGATACTGATAGTGGCGATTAATGTTTTGACTTAAACGGACATTTTGTTTTATATTTTTTATAAATAGACGCTTTTTTAGTTATTCGATTTAATCCGGGTTTATAAATTTTATTATCTTATTGTGAATTTTGATTTAATAAATGGAAATGTGTAATCGAACATTACATCTACAAATTGTTCTGATGTAGCCTATGCAATCGATTGAATAGAGGTATCTTGACGTTCTATTTGTAAAAATGATGATAATATTTCATGACATCATCTTTTATTGTCACCTATTACGTATCGGATATGTTACAATTGTATTAGACTAAATTGCTAAATCGAGCCGTTTGGTAATTCGGCCGCAAGTTTTTTAATAAAGCATTTCTCTAAAAATGGCTCGACTCAAACACTGAGAGTCGTCAATAACGAGTTTTAGTATTGCCAAAAAGAAAAAAAATTTATTTCAATAACTGGCAAACATATACATAAATGAAGTCGAAAGTAACTAAAAATTGCTGGTAACCGAATCAATAAGTTACCGAACTCAGGATCAAATTCGTGTAACGCAGAACATTTCACTTTTTGTTAAAAGATCTTCAATTGGAAAATTCTTTTTTTAATTCTATGGTACGAAATTTGTACCAATCATTGGCTGTGTTATTATTTGGCGCGAGAAAATTTTAAAGGCTTTTTTTAAAAATTGATTGTTATTTTTAGATAATAAAAAATCTTTTTTTTAAATAGAAATCGGTTTTAGAATACGTAACCTTTTAGTATATTGCAGATCATTTCTATATCGCGTCAAATACCTGACTGGAATAGCTAAGCCAAGCTAATTAACGGTTTACTAACGGTTCAGTTAATAAATGGCTCGGCGTAAAGATAATGAATATTATACCAATAAACTTCAGTTTTCTTGATATGTCCCAAATGGCCAAAGATTTTCTTGCCATCCAAACTATTTGGATCTTCTGAACAAAGACGAAAGATACTGTTCGGAACACGGCATTACAGCTGTTTGGACAACTGAAAAATTTTCTAATAACCGAACCGATAAGTTATATGAAATTGAATCAATAAGTTACGAAATAAGAAATTTATCGACTCGATTTTGAACAATTTTTTGTCCCAAATTTATGAGAACGACTGTAAATGTCTTTCAAATTTTCTCATTTTTAAATAAACTCATCTATAGAGTTATAGCTGCGGATTTGGCTATAAACCGACTCAGTCATAGGAAAATTTTTGCATGTGATCATATGGGCGAGAAAAGGGCCCAAATTGATATTTCGAAAAATCAATTTTTGTTATAAATCTTATAATAAATCATAAGAAAATATAAACTTTAACGAGCTATACTGAAAAAATTTATTAATACAACTACTTTTGTGTCTTAAGTGAAAAATGATCCTAATCTTATTCTAAATTGATTTATGTAAAAAAAAAATCTTTTTGAAGAATTGTCAATTTGGGCCCTTTTCTCAGCACCTAGCACATATTGATTCCGTGTCACCATCAAATTTGAAAATAAATTGATTCTCTTCAAAATTCGAGTTTTTTCCTCCTTCGATTGCCTGGTTTGGTCGTTTGTCAAAATGGTTAGTATATATTAACCACATCTTTTTGCAATGTAAAACTATTCATGAGTGCTCTTGATGAGATACAATCTTACAATTATCACACTAAAAAAAAAAAAATCAATTGATCATATGGATGGACAGAAAAAAAAAATTTTTAATCATCAAAAATCTTAAGATATACATAAATCTGGATCGTAAAAATTAAAAAAATTCTTTTTCGGATTGCCAAAGGTTAACGTTCCAAAGACCAGAAATACCTATTGCAAGGGTAAAAATTGTAGAAAGCATACCCCTCACAAAGTCTCTCAATATAAAAAGGGTAAAGATTCATTATACGCTCAAGGTATGCTGTTCTTTAAATTCGGTTTAAACTGTTAAGGCTATTATTTTTAATAAATCGTGCTTTATACATATTTAATATAGGAAAAAGACGTTATGATCGTAAACAATCTGGTTATGGTGGTCAGACCAAACCAGTCTTCCATAAGAAAGGTAACGAAAAAGTTAATCAAATTAATTTCTTTTACAGAATGATAACAAATGGTTTAATGTATATTTCAGCCAAAACCACCAAGAAAATTGTCCTTCGTTTAGAATGCCAGAGCTGTAAGGTATAATATCGTCTTTAATCGTTGTCCATTTTAAAACAATTTACTATTTAATGATCTCAATCACTATGATTCTCAAAGTATAAACATCAAGTGGCGATCAAAAGATGCAAGCATTTTGAACTTGGAGGTGACAAAAAGGTAAAACAAAAACATTTTATCTCAAATTGTTTTTATTCTTTCTATTGACTTTTTTTTTTTTTTTTTTTTAAGACCAAAGGCGCTGCTCTTGTTTTCTAATATGCAAAATTATTATATATATCTATATATATTTTTACACCATAAATGTTGGTTAATACATGATTTTCAACAAGAAACGTTTTCGTTTGCAACTGTATTAAAGTTTATTGTAAGGCTTGTTTTAACGAAAATCAAAGATTACAATTAGAATTCCAGTATATAATAACAGTTATTATTATTTATGATTTGATTTGATTTTTTGATTAGTATTCTAAAACAAATTCAATACTTCTCAGTTGTCCCAATTTGATTGCAAATGCTGACTATCTCCAGAAAATGTATCTTCATAAGACCATTTTCCATTTTCCAAATCGTCATTTCTGTAGTCATAATACCATTCACTATCATTGTCATCAGCATTCCAATTTGATTCCACTTCTGATGAATCGTTTGTGTGCCAATCATGTTCGTCGTTTTCATTTTTTGGTGAATCAAGTTTATATTCTATATGTGCAAGCACCTCATCTGCGTTTAGTAATGTAAAATCTGCGCTGGAATCAAGTATTTCCAACAATTTGTCTCTAGTTTTACAAAGTTGTCTAATTCGATGTATATCCCAAAGATAATCAATTTTAATACAGTTCTTTTTTCGTTGTCCTTCGAGTTCGCTCACAACCGGATTACAAAGGAATTTCATGTAGTAATGAATAACTTCAAGAATCTCGGACGTGCTTTTATCAGGCTCATCATAAATTGGGAACACTACTTGATCGATATGACCATAACTTCCAAAATCGGATAATAAGGGTTTGTCGTCTGGACGCAAGTCTCGAAATATGGCGATTTGTGTAGCAAATCCTACCGCGGGATCGCTGTCCTTTAATGTTCCAACCCCAGTATACTCAACAGAATAATTGTATTTTGCCGCACCTGCGTTACCCCTTAAAACAATATTATCTTACATAAGTCGGATAATAATAACATTCTTAAATTAGTATTACTACCAATCTCACCATTTCTGAAATTCGCTCCG